GAGAGAAAAAGAGAGAGAGAGAGAAAAAAAGAGAGAGAGAGAACAGAGTTAGCTTTAGTAACAGAAACGAAGGAAACTGACAAACTGAATTCTGATTCACATTTATTAAGTATTTGATTTCACAGATTACAGATCTTCGACCTGTTGTGACGCAGCGATCTCTGGCAGGCTTTATAATATCAAACAGTGTTATTTTTTAAATTGTCGTACACTCCAGGTAGTAATTTAAGAGCCGACGATCAGTGAACCTTCAGCCTCAGAATAATTCAAAACGATTGGGATTTTAAACATCTTTAACCTGAGCCATAACGACTGTTGTCATTATCCATTCATCGTTTCATCTACAATATCAGAAAGTAGTGACATCTATAATGTCCTGAAGGTGTGAGCAACGGTCCACAACGCAGCAATACTCAGTTTATTTTCATATTAGACCATGAAGACTAACAAACCCCAAACCTAAAAAATGACTCACTCGTTACTTAGTGAGGCCGATTCTATAATATAATAATGATAATAATGATAATAATAATGATAATGGCCTGTCTGACGGCTTTCTGTAATGTTTTCCTTCACTGATCGACATCGTCTGTTAGCGCTGCACAATTCATCGAAATATTATCGAAATCACAATATGGTCAGGTGCAAATCACAAGACCTGTAATGTTTTAACAAAGGTCAAATGTGACAGAAAGCATTATAGTGAAGTACTGTAGTGCTGCAGAGACGCTCTGGTCTACAAATCTTTTTTTTTTTTTGTGAAATAATACTTTGTCTGTTTCTACCGTATCGTGCAGCAGCGCACAAACTGTTTTATACATCAAAGTTTTTACAGGGTTAAGACCTCTTTTCATTCTGCATGAACAAAATGCAAATGTCTCTGTGGATATTATCATCTACGCTGCATCTGCAGGCTGCTAATTCAGTGTCGACCACTTCACGCTTCATTCTCTCACAACACAGTACAATAATGAACATTTGTAGTGTGAACAGAGCACCTGTCCCCGTGGTGACAGCTGGCACAACTGGTGTTCAATATAGGAGAAAGAAACCAGAAACACTTTTATTTACTATCAAAAGCCAATACTAATCGATTATAATGTGCTTTGATCGACTGACAGTGATCTTCAGGACAGGTTTGGGACTACCTCAGCTGCGTAGACTCGATGTTATCAGTCCTCTGCTGTTTCTCTAGAAGAATCAACATGGCATACTAAGAAACAAATACATAACCCAAAACCAACAATGTGATCAAACTCAACAAGCGATGTGTAGAATCCACAGCAGCATCGAACTTATGCAAAATAAAGACTTTAATTTTATCTCTGCATTATTCACTTCTTGACAAACGAACAGCCCCGTACTAAATGTGTACTTGATGCTGGCATCGACCTTTCAGATCAGATATTGTAACACTTACATCCTGAGACAGCGTGACAAACACATACCTGAGGCTTAATGCCCTCCACCACAGAAGCTAAAACAAACTGAAGGACTACACCCTGACTTATTGACCCAACTAAATGGCTAATTTCCCTACGGAGCACCGGGGAGGGAATAATGCTCTCTAAGACGGCCAGTTCAATTTCCCTTCATGCACAGCAAACATTAGCCCGAACCGCCTGAGTGGTGTTTGCAGCGTCATAATTTCATGACAGAAATAATGTGAAAAACACTTTTTTTTTTTTACTGCCACTTTTATTAAAGCATTACACTGTATATACAAAGCTAAACTGAACATTTAAATTCAACTAATTATAGTTTTACAACAGCTCTAATAATAAAGAAAAAAGCAGTAAAGCCCGAAGCTGAATTTACCAGGTAACTCTGCACTAAGACGATGACGTTCGGCTCACACAGCATATTGCTTTATTTGCCCCCCAGAGAATAGTTTCCTGTAAAAGTGCTAATGCACGGTGGTCAAACTATACGGACGGGGAGATGGAGCAGCTGCACTCTGAACAATTGGCAAAGAGGGGGCAGCCGAATTTGATCGCAGAGGGAGTTTACAACAACGACAAAGAGACGGCGCGGTGAAGAATAAAGCAGAGTAGAAACAACACAACCAAAACGCTATCATAACACTGGTGCGGTCAGTCATCCAGGTGAAAATCATAACGTCGAGGCTGACCTCTGGAAAAACAATGGGAAGAACAACAAGGGCGCCGCGGGCCGCAGACTACACATGATGGGAATGTACTTGCCATATCCACAGTCAGCAAGTTCACTGCGACGACTAAAGCTGCCTGAACCTCGCTCTAAAAAGCATCTGCACCACACAAACTGTGCAGTCCAGTGTCGTCCACGCACCACACCCTCAGCTGACTCCTCTGACTCCTCTGCAGAGCGACCTGTCTGTGCATCTGCTAACGAAGAGAGTAGAAAGATGCATGCACGTCTTGGTTACGTCTTTCTTCCATCGACTGCAGTCCGGTCTGCTTTACACCGATGTTTCAGACAGGACTGGTGGCTGGCTCAACTGAAAAATAGTTTAACTTGAGAACAATTGTTAAAGCTACTGTGTCATTGGCCATACAACTACAATGACTCTGCAGTGATAAAATGCTTGAACTACTATCTGACAGCTGTGACGTCTGAACCAGAGCTGAAACCATCAATTAGTCGATAAGTCCGACGAGACAATATTAATCAGCAACTGTTTTCTAGTAAACTGAATAGCTTAAGATTTTGAAGCGCTGATGGGTGAAAGAGCAATTTGATGTAATTAGTGCTGAAACAATTAGCATGCAGGCTCATCCACAGATTATTAAATGAATCAATTAATTAATTTATCGTGCAAAATGTTCAACCATTCTCTGGCTTCTCATATCTGAAGACTGGCTGCTTTTGTGGGTTTTATTTAGCCTATTATTTATCTATTTTTACCACAGTCGACTGAACACCGTTGGGTTCTTTAGTGTTGGTTGGATTAAATGAACAATTTAAAGACTAATGGGAACTTTTGACTATTTTCTGACATTTTATAGA